CAACCTTGTATTCATTCACATTTGTTTGTCCTTAATCTGCAGATTTTCACAACTAGTTGAAAATTCATTCACAGTTTTACAACGCTCTGCGTTTCGAAATCTAGTTTTACATTCCCTGCGACCGAAATCCATATTCACGTTCGTCCAGGTTCCGTTTAATGATGTGACAAATTTTTGTCGTCGTAAACTAAGCGATAACGGAAATTATGAACTCCTTGATAATCCGTGGGCACCGGATGCTACCTTTTCATTTCCGCCTTCGACCAAACGTAATTTGAAATTTCAATTGTCCTCTGTTAAAATGTGTCAAAGGTAATTTTATAAACTTCAAATTAAGATGCTATGCTTATACTTCATCTTTTCAGTACCGATATTTAAATTAATATCTGTTACATGAACGCCCCATGCTCTCTTTTCGTTTACACTTCGCGACAGAGTTGCATAGGTTTCAGTTTGTTAAGATTGTTCGCTGAAACCGTTAGAAAACAATAGTGTACATACAGACGAGCCATCAACGACATTCATAGAGAGTCAGTTACTACCTACCTCGACTCTCGACCTATGAATGCCGTAATACGAGCCCAATCACCACCTGTAGAAGAGATGGAGCTTCAACTGCCACGAGATACCCGCGTTACCCTGGCTCAATTACGGTCTGGATAGTGTAGCCGCCTTAACAGCTACCTGTCCAGACTCGACCCCAATATCCCCAATGAGTGCCCGGCTTGTGGAGAGTCCCCCCACGACACCAACCACCTCTTTACATGCCAGCTCAATCCGACTCAACTAACACCCCTCTCCCTCTGGTCCGAACCCATCGAAACAGCTCGTTTCCTGGGCCTCCCGTTAGTTGGGCTTGACCAAAATGATTGAACGTAGACCCGAAAAAGGCGGGGCTTAGTAGTGCCGCTACAACAACAACAATAACAACAATAGTGTCTTGGTTTTCACAACTAACAAAATGAAAATACAATTTTCCGAGGGCATTTCGGGGGGAGCGGGTTGTGGTGAGGGCTTGAACCCCCAAAACTCCTACCAGCTTTCGCCCCTGACCTAGATTTTTCTGATATTAAGTCAGCTCGAATTTTCAAAGGCACTTTTTTACATTAAGTATTCACAAAAACACTTTTCCATAAAACATTTCTGATTCTATTGTTAATTAGTTAGCTGGTATTATTATTAGCGGCGATAATTACTTACTATTTAACAAAGTTCGCAATAACAAAAGTTTGATAAGCGTTTCGTTGTCAAGCAGTTCTCGGTGGATGTAGCACCAGCTTTTGGAAAAAGGGCTAATCAGGCACCGAGGTACCGAGGTTTTCGAAAGTCCATAATGATTTGGGTAACCAGTTTTCATTTCCTCCCAAGCGTCGATGCTATTCCACTTTAGTTCTAGGACTTGACAATTGAAATAAAACCTAATTTCATTTCGCAAGAACTTAATTACTAAGACCAAAGCTAACGGATCTTTGAAATGAATTTTTTGTGAACCTCTGGTCGAGTGAAGCTGATGCAGCTAGCAAAAAAGAATGTTCGATGGGTGGACAACTACAGACTTCATATTTCTTGAAAATATTTTTACGATTATTTTACAACTAATCGATTAATGAAACACAAAACTACGACATAATTAAATCGTGAATTGGACAAAAATAATCGAATAATTTAATCAAATGATTAATCGCTGCCATCCCTATACGTAGGCATTTGAGAGATTGCACTTCAAGAGTTCAATTGTTATATTCCTAAACCTGATAATGTCTTGCAGCATTGAACACTGGCCCAGAGTTAAGTAACCCGACGGATTTCTAAATTAAGTAGGCACCACTCTCCCTTTCTTGACGTTTGCTTATATTTCTTATTAGAATTTGAATATAATATTTCAAATACTTACATACATACATACATACACCGTCAATCAGAAGTGAGTGCATGGTGTTTTTTGTTTAATATTTGCAATGTTCCTCAACTTAAATTTTTTTTGTTATTTTTTACAAAAATATTGTGCATACTTTAATCAAAACCAAACAAGTCGAACTTTCAAACTTTATACAGAACTTAGCAAAATTCAACAAATTTTCGTTTAAATTTTGAACTTTTGATTTTATCTGAATTTTTAGAAAAATTTTCAGCACGCAGGTAGATCGGATTTTTAGTTCTTTTGAAACAAGTACAAGTTTTAAGCGGCTAAAGCATGGACCATGTTTTTATAAAAAAATAACAACAAAATTTTAACTTGAAAAGCATTGCAAATATTAAACAAAAAACACCATGCACTCAGTTTTGATTGCCAATGTAGGTACAAATTGTAAATTGGCCAGCGGCACTTCTGACAGTTTTCTTAATTGAATGGACCACTAACACGGTTGGTGAATTTCAATCGCATATATTTTTTACGCCAGACTGACAGAAACCTCGAAAGTGATGGCGGAAAATGAAAACGTGAATATGTATGTATGTATGTATGTACATATGTTTCCAAGAATGTTTTTGAAATCTCAGTTTATTTTTTCTTGTTACTGACAGAATTGACATATGTAGAGTTAGCAAGTTAACCATAAAAAATTGGTGGGCTAAATATTTAACGATTTAACTCTAATATTACTCCTAGCCATTGATTGTGCAAGCTAATTTATCAATTTAACCGGCAAACTTCGAGTTAAGAAGATAACCTATATAGTAAATTATACTAGCAAAATTTTTCAACATGTGTAATCTGTAAGAATATTTTGTTCCTTGACAACTACTGAAATACAAATAAATAAATAGTGTAACCAAATCATATGTTGAGAGAACCATCCCAGCAAAAAACACTATTACCACAGAAACGAAAGTGGAAACGGGCTAGGCGATGGGAATCGCTTACCCTTTCGCTTCAAGAAGGCATTATTTTAACATGCGCATGTCATTGGCGGTAAGCCCTTTCCCACAGCATTACCTTCAAACGAAGGGAGAACGCATGGATAAATTTATTATTTATATTAAATTGAAATCAGAAAATGTCTTAAAAGATTAAAATGAATTACAATTTTTATAAATCAGTACATATATGCATATTTAATTAAGCTTATAATTATATTTCCTCACTCTTGTTCTTCACTTCATTGACTGACTTCAACTTCGCTGCAAATTGAACAAAGCAAAACACGATTTTTATGCGAGCCAAATTTCCACAGAAAGAAACGGTAGAAAAAGAATTTTTGGATATTCATTTTTTTTCTGCTTACTACGATGCAGCATTCTAATTTGCATTCCCCGAAATGAAGCAAAGAAGCGAAAAAAAATATTGTAGGACGTTCTGCTTTGCATTCCCTGAAATGAAGCAAAGAAGCGAAACAAATAAAATATTGTAGGACATTCTACTTTGCATTCCCCAAAATGAAGCAAAGAAGCGAATTAAAAAAGAAATATTATAGGACATTCTACTTTGCATTACCGGCAATGCCTAAAAGAAGCGAAAAAATTCTAAGGCATTATAACGCTATACCTTCTAGAACACGTTACCACTAAAAGCGATTACCGATTTTTTGCTGGGATATTTAGTTGACGTAACTGAACTCTCTTCTCAATGTGGAGATATATATTTTAAATTTGAATGATGCTATGTTCACGGAATAGGTTTGTTCCAAACGAGCACGCGGGTACCAGTGATCGGACTTTCAAAAAATTCTGTGTGGTAGAATCTGGAAAAAATGTGGTCGATTTCAAAACACTGTGGTAGATGTCTGGGTTTGGGTCAAGCTTTGTACAAAAATTTAAAAAAAATTGCAAAGTTTCACCTAAATTGCAAACATTTTAATTAGACTCTAAAAAAAATTTAATTTTAATATAATAAAGAGCAAGATTGAAGTTGCAAAAAATTGCGTTGAATTTTCGTAATTTTTTTCCTTGGCAGTGTAAAGCAGTTCGTTCCATATCGAGATATTTTTCGAACATATTTTAAGAAATTTCTGCAACCTTGTGGAGCGCTGCCAGCTTTTTGTAGCGAACAAATGTGGCACGTTCCAGAAACAGGTAATTGGGATTTGACGATTTTGACAATTCTCAAGTAAAAGTAAACAACGCCTCATAAACTTTAGATGCGCTTAAATTTGCTAATACTTTCACAAGAAACGAGGTTTTTTAACATCATATGTTTTTCAATTTAACATAATAAAACCACGTTTTCTGTCGAAAAATTTATTACTGAGAAAATTTACTATTTTACAGTTTATTTTATCCACCCATTCGGCTCTGTTTACTTTGACTTGAGAAATTTCATCGTCGCGGGGAATGCGGAATCTTGTATTATATCATTCTTGTTACCAAAAAGTGTTAAGTGTTGGGCAAATTTTGCTCTTAAAATTAAGAAAATTAAGTGGAGCAAGAACAAAACTACGCAAAAACGCGAATATGTGGTAGATTTCAGACCTTGAGTGGTAGATGATCAAAAAAGTGGCAGATCTACCAATGTGGTAGAAGTCCGATCACTGGCGGGTACCCGCGGGTGCCCAAAACAGCCCATAAAGCGTTCCTCACGCTAGAAAAATGGGTAATAGAGAGCGAATAAGTTCCTTTTTTGGGTCGTAAATGTCTTCTTCTTTGTGCAATTTGAAATAACAGCTGTTGTTTAAATCCGAAAGCAAATTTTATAAAACACAAAAGTGGAAAATACCACAGAACTTTCAGAAAATGTAGTTATTTGGTAATTTTATTAGCCATATAAGACAAAGACACGTAAAATCATTGTTTAGAGCTTATTTGTTGATTCCGGGCATGAAATGTGATTTTTTGCGTTCCTAATGCTCTGGGCACTTTTGGCACGTGTTGACACATTTTTTACACTTGTGATAGAGTAACTTTTTTTTCGCTCAACTACCGAAGCAGCCCGAAAAGCGTGTGGAACAAAGCTAATATCTACATAGAGTTTTAAAGAGTTTCGCCCGCGGGCGCTGTTCTGAGCTTCATTGATATATGTACATATGTATGTCAGTACTGGATAACGTGTTCAAATGTTTTACCGATTATTTATAAATTTGTGACCATGTAATTCCTCCAAGAGTGCAGCAAGTATATCATCGATGAATTTATCTTCCGTAGTATAATTATTACACATATTTGCTTCCACCACAAAAACGATGTCGCTGCTATGAGGCCCAGGGTACGAATTGTACTCTAGAAATGTACTTTCTGGCACAAACGTACCATTATCAATCTCGCAACTGTAAAAAACGAAAGCATAAATAAATATGTGCATAAACATATATTTGGAAAGTATAAAATATTTTCTAAGAATAACTTACTTTCTTGAGATTTTATGCAGATACATATACATTACTAGAGCTCGGATTTTTATGCAAATTGAATATGCAAGTGGTATGAAAAATATTTTAAAAAAGTTTATAAAATCTACATATGTAGTTAGATATGCTAAAAAAATATATTTATGCAACAATTTAAATAACACCTAAGAAACAAAACCGAAGTCATTTGCACTTGTGTCAATGTTCTTAAGATTTCAGAGAAAATTAAACAGATTTTGTTAAACGCATATCTTCAAATTGATGAACAACTTGTATTTAGTTAACTCTTTAAACTACTTTAGTAGTGTCTGTGGAAAATCATCCGCATTTGCGGCAGGAGAACGGGTTCTGGAGGCCCCAGCCATTGCCAAATCCCCAGCATCATAGACCATGAGCGCATCTTGGAAGAGAGTGTGGAGGTAACGAATCCCCTCTTCTTCAGAGACGGAAGAGGACCAATCTCTTGGAAGGGATGTAGACCGAGAAGCAGCTCGCTCCCAACGACCCTCCAATGACGGGGTTGGTCCTCTTCCACAAACCCAGAAAAAGTGGCGAAAAAGAAAGTATCGGAGAGCGAAACTCAAGCAGAGGAAACCCTCTTTTGTGGCTGACCGAACTCGTCCTGTCGATGCATTCTCTAAGCGGCCCAGGTCTACGGAGGTTACTCCAGAAGCCAGTGGGACCTTGGTGGATTCACCGACATCCAAATTTGCTGGCGGACGTTGCAAGAGAATAAAAACTGCGGTGACACCTACCAATGCCTGCCCCAATGCCACTTCGAGTCATAGTGTGGCGGGTACTAGTGGGGCATTGCCCAATCCCGATCAGCCAGATAGACCTCTGGCGCCACGAAACCCTTATCTCAAACCATGGGTAGAAGTGATGAAATGGGTCAGTCGAGGCAGAACCGCCCTCGCTATGCCCCCGAAGCATCGAAGCCTTCCAACTACGTCTGGAGGTCTGGGGGCCCGCCCAACTTATTATGAGCCCGTAAAAGGCTATCCGCTCATTGCCGAAATGGAGAGGGGTTGGCGTATTAGATTAAGCAGATGACTACTAATCCGGGCCGTCATTGCCCCCGGCACTGTAGCCAATGCCCGTTCAAAAGATAGGGATGGAACCATTGTGGTGAAATGCCTTTCCCACGCTAACTGGGATTATCTCAAGCTCGAGGGGCAAAGAATGCCGCGCACAGGGGGAATAGGCCTCACTGTTTACAGTACCAATTACAAATGGGAGAGCGAATTAGGTGCCGTGGGAACATAGTATAATTCGCTCTGCGAAGAGGTCCTCTTTTAAAGAATACTGCAGCCGGATTAAAATCCGAAGTCAAACGGCTAGGTTGGTAAAAGTTCTGAAGAAGGACCAAACCATAACTCGCGTTCACTCAAGAGACCTGATGGCTCTTTAACGGAGACTAGGATTGAGACACTCTCTGTTCTTCTAGAGACTCACTTTCCTGTGAATCAGATGATGGTTACGGCTTCCTCTCCCTCGACTGGTGAGGAAGGGTATGCGAGAACCACAGTGTCAAGGTGCAACTGGTTTGTTGCCAGAACGATGTCTAATAATGATGCCCTAAGATATGCTACTGAGTCTTTTGGCAGTCTCAAATCGCCCGGTCTGGATGGCATCCTACCTATTGCACTTGAAAAAGTGTTGAGCTTTAGTTGGCGACCTTGAAAACAGGTTTTTCCAGCATCTCTTGCACTTGCCTACATAACACAACATATTCAAATATGTACATATACGAAAAAAAATGGGAATTTATAAAATTTATGAATGTGTATGAAATTGATAACTAAATTTTTGTTCTTTTTATACCCGAGCGCACTTGTGCACAAGGGTATTATAACTTTTTACGGTTATTTGTTACTGACATACCTAAACAAAAGCATTAGCGTTGTCTGGCTGTCAAACAATTCTCATGTCCATACAATTTGTATGAAGCATACCGAAACGACGCGGCGTCAACGCTGAGCGGTTGGAAAATCCGATTTTGACTGGGCGTTAGGTATTGAAGTTGGCCGCAGAAAACGGAGAAACTGTCATTTTCGTGTTACACACAAACAAACCTATGCTTGCTATTGGTGTTATTTCTGCATTTGACGTGGCGTTGACGCTTTTGTTTAGGTATGGCACTTCGGCGCTAACGCAAGGCGTCAGGAACCGCTCCGCCCAACGCTTTTGTTTAGGTATGGCAGTAACAGCCAAACCGAATCGAGATAGATATAGACAAATGTATACATAAATGATCAGAATGAAAAGAGAAGTCGATTAAGCCATATCTATCTGTCCGTCCGTCCGTGTACACGATAACTCGAGCAAAAATTGAGATATCTCAACGAAATTTGGTACGTAGATTGCCTTTTACCCAAGGTAGGTTGGTATCGAAAATATCGGACGGTAACCACGCCCACTTCCCATCTAACGGTAGTTTTCAGAAATACGAAAACTGCGATATTTCAGTAACTACTGAAGTTATTCACTGAAAATTGATATTTACAATAATTTTTAGACGTAAAATAAGAATATTATAATTTTTTGGAAAATGGGCGTAGCCACGCCCACTTATGATTACATGTGTATATCTTGGTACCCGCTGCTCCAATTTCTCCCAAACTTGGAACAGTTGTTGGCCTTACCAAATGGCTGAAAATTATAAAAATCGGACAATAACCGCGCCCACATCCCATATAACGGTAATTTAGAGAAATACGAAATCTGCGATAAATCAGTAAATACTAAAGCCAATTTACTCAAAATTGATGTTTGCAATAACGCTTTAAAAAAAAAACACGTTTATGATGGAAAATGGACGTGACACCGCCCGCTTATGATCAGGTATGTATATCTCGGTAACCGTTCGATAGATTTGTACCAACCTTGGTAGGATTATTCGCTTACCACATAAAAGCAAAATGTTAAAAATTATTGAAATCGGACTAAAAATACTCCAACTTTTCATATAATGGTATATTTTACAAATTCTTGAAACTTCGATATTTCGAAATTTAAAGACGCTAATTTACCCAAAATTGATAATAAAGCACTCCCTTGAAATAAGTAACATTATTATAGAATTTTGGAAAGTGTACGTGTTATCGCCCACATCGAACCATATAAGTTTATCCCATTAGATAAGTGTAACTGAACACACTATCGAAATCGTTAGATTTAGGGGTAAAACCACTCTTCTTACCATGTAACGGCAGTTTTCAGAAAAGTGAAAAACTATATTTAATACTTGCGCCGGGTATTTAATGTTCGGCCCCACCCGAACTTAGCCTTTTTTACTTGTTATCTTTAGTTTTATAATAAAAAAGCTCGGTAATCGCAACAATCTCGGTTATCGCAACAACCACTGATTTTAATCTGTCACTATTACCGAGGATATATTATAATTTGTTGTCCTTTACTCGCCTTACGCTTAATACTTGTTGCTCAAAATACCAAAATTGAGTATTAATTTGATAAGATTTTATTAATAGATGCGAATAGAAAACTCAAAAATTCATATCTTTTTAACACAAAAACACCTCCGTAAATATTTTAGAATCTTTTAACATGCAACGGTACCATGCAAAAAAAAAATTTGCCCCAGATATAAGCTTTTGATTGATTCAATTTTGAAAATTTAGAAATTTTGCAACTTTTTAATTTTTCAATATATTTTTTTAATACACTTATTTTTATGTCCCCAAGTATACTCTTTAAAACTAGTCCAAGATGGTTTAGTAGCTATAGTAGTTTTTGAGATATTAAAAAAATTTACTTGAAAAACTGGAAAAATAGTGAAATTTTGAATTTCGCATAACTTTTGCAAACATTTTTTTCTGTTGGTGGAACTTCATTATAGCATGAAAGAAAACTTCTGCCCAAATTTCATGCAAAGCTAAAGGGGTCGAGTCCAACCATTGGGCTAGGGACCAGGGTTGTTGCGAATATTTTTCCGAAATAAAAGTCCTTTCCGCTTAATAAACAAACCGCCTGTCCAAATTAAACAAATTTGGTATCATATGAAAGAGGACTGAAATAGCTTTTAAACAGAAATAGCGAAGGACCTCTATTTATAATTTTTTATAATTTTTTTAATTGAAATATTTTTCAATATGTGAGTTTCTTCATTTAGACATTTCAGTTTTAAAGTCCTCTTTCATTTGATACCAAACTTGTTTAATTTGGATAAGCGGTTTGTTTATTATCCGGAAAGAACATATGGTCCCTCTAGTCATGGCAGGCACCTTGTTGTTGGTGGGGGGCTTAGTCGAATCATGATCAGTCCTTATCAGTGGGTGGGAGTGCAATTGTGTCTTTATCTCCGGGTATTGGGCGAGTGCACTCCATTCCTCTGGTTCGAGCTGCTCTTAAACGAGACCAAGAACTGCCGACCATTTAATCCAGGGTTTACCACCAGACTGGCAGACACAGGGAGTAATTATTTAGGCCAGCTCCAGCGACAAGGTCGAAAACAAATGGCCGGAGCGCAGAGCGTGGCAGACTAAAAATTTGCTCAGCGATGCGGAGTCTGGGGTAGCTGCAGAGGTAGGCAGCTGGTGCGACGTTATCGACTACGAAGCGGCAAAGGACGCTGGAGGGGGAAACCTCTGTTGTTAAAAAACAGCGCATCGGACCGGCTCCTACCTCTAGCGGCGATTTGTCACCCCCAGTTGTAAAGGTTGGCCACATCCCTTAGTTGTGGTAATCTAAGAATATGAGCGTACATAAAATATGAGGAATAAATCTAGCTGGCTCTTTGGAACTAGGGGTCATGGATAGTAGCAGAGAGGGCGGCGCTATCACCGACGAAAAATGGAAGCGTGTTGCGGCGCCCATGTCAGCCGTATTCCTGAGGGTGGTCAAGGGGAATCCTGGGCCACTACCTAGGTGTGAGAGTGCCGGATAGAATTCTGGAGAATGAAGG